AGCAAACGAGGCCTCAAAATGGAGTCAGTTACTGCCTACAGTTTATGAAGTGGCTGGATTATTGTTTTATACATATATAAATAAATAAATCCGTTACTAAACTTTTCTTTGGCAGCGAGATGACAAGCCTCCTTATCCTAAAATAGGGAACAAATAAAAAACATATAAAGGAAATCATTTTACAAAAAAGTTTAAATTAACCTATGTAAACTGAATCAACATGTTTGAGGCAAAGCTTTCAGACCTCCCCAATTACTAAGCCATAGAACTGATTACTGTGAAATTGACCTCAACTGTTTGGGATTAAAAGCTATGCTGGCGCAATTTTACAATTCCTGAAACAGAAAAGGTAGTACTAGGAATAATACATGCAACTACAACTCCACTTAGTCAAAGAACTGGTTTTAGATAAGATTCCAAAATTTTGGTACTAAAATACAAAGGAACAAACAAAACATCCTGCACAGATGGCTATACATTCACAATATGAATATGGTTGGAAGATAACAACATATTCATTGTGGATGTCCTATTATCAGAGGTGGTATTCAGCAGGTTCTGACCAGTTCTGGAGAACTGGTAATGGAAATTTTGAGTAGTTCGGAGAACCGGTAAATACCATCTCTGACTGGATGGGTCTGGATGGGAGTAAACAAGTTGGCACTCAACCCAGACAAGACCCAGTGGCTACTGATGTTCCCTCCCAAAGATTGGCCAAGTATTCCATCTCTCAGGCTGGGGGGTGAAATTATACGCTCCTCAGAGAGGGTTCACAATTTGGGAGTCCTCCTGGATCCCCGGCTGACTTTAGAACACCATTTGTCGGCTGTGACCAGGGGGGCCTTTGCCCAGGTTTGCCTAGTGCACCAATTGCGACCCTACCTGGATCGGGAGGCCCTTCAGACAGTCACTCACGCCCTTGTGACCTCAAGACTGGATTACTGTAACACGCTCTACATGGGGCTGCCCTTGAAGAGTGTTCGAAGACTTCAGCTAGTCCAGAATGCAGCCGCGCGAGCGATCGTGGGTGAACCTCGGTTCACCCACGTAACACCTATCCTCCGTGAGCTGCACTGGCTACCCATTAGTCTCCGGACTCGCTTCAAGGTGCTAGTCGTTACTTATAAAGCCCTACATGGCATCGGACCTGGGTACCTGAGAGACCGCCTCCTGCCAATTACCTCCCATAGACCGATCAGATCGCACAGACTAGGCCTTCTCCGGATTCCATCTGCCAGCCAATGTCGGCTGGCGACTTCCCGGGGGAGAGCCTTCTCTGTTGCAGCTCCAGCCCTCTGGAACGAGCTCCCCGTGGAGATCCGGACCCTTACTACTCTCCCGGCCTTCCGCAAAGCCACCAAGATTTGGCTGCTCCGGCAGGCTGGGGAGCTGTTGAAATAGCCAGCCCCACTGTAACTATGAATGTTGTGTATTTTAAATTGTTGTTTGTCTATTTGTCTATTTATCCCCTTCCTTTGTTTATTGTAAGCCGCCCGGAGTCCTTCGGGAGTGGGCGGCATACAAGACCAATAAAATGAAATGAATGAATGAAATGACTGGCCCCACCCCCATCAACAACACTCTGCCTCCCAAATCCCAGTTGATTGGGAAGGAATGGGGATTTTGCAGTAGCCTTCCCCTGACATGCCCACCAAGCCACACCCACCAAGCCAATGCCCGCCAAGCCATGCCATGCCCACAGAACCAGTAGTAAAAAAAAATTTGAATCCCACCACTGCCTATTACCCTTGATATAATTCATTTCATTCCATTAATTTTTATTATCCTTGATTACCATCTAGTAACACTTGGTGCTAGGTAGCATATAAATGTAATTAATGAAATAAATAGTTTGAATTTATGAATATCCTTTTTCATGAGCTGTTATTTTTGAATGAAGCTACCCCAACTCCTCCCTCCTTTATTCAATAAATCACACTTCCTTCAGTGAATACAATGTTTTAAATTATTTCATGGCAGATGCTGTCTACAGAAAATAGGCGTGTTTATTATACCTTAGTTATTGGTTCTGACATCTTGGCATGCTGAAAACTACTGATGCAAAATGCTAAGTGTAGGAAACTAAACTTCAATAACCAAATATCATTCAATGTCAGCTGCACCAAAATAAAACTTGCACAATGAATGGAAACACTGTGGTTTCTTTATATTCATTTATAGACAGATGCTTAGATATAGACACACAGTGACCTGTCAATTTAAATTAAGTTGGATAGATTTTTTTTTCTCCTGTCCAAAAAGCAAGGATTTTTTAAAATCACTTTCATCTTGTCATCTTTTTATTTTATTTATTAAATTGACTGCATCTTGTTGCAAGGTGACTTTTCAAATATCCATTTGCAGAGGGATGTGCAAATTATTCCAATGTTTTGAACTCAAAATGGTCCTTTGAATGTTCAAAGTATGGGACAAACCACCTCATATTCTAACGTTTTGTTACAAACTCAGTGATTAAAGTAGTGTTTTATTCACAGGCCATTGGAATATTTTGATATCCCACTATAGTATTATTTTTTTTATTCTTCCAGTCATGGAGATTTGGAAATTAATTAGTCAATAAAATAGCAGTTGTCACCAGATGTTAGACTGATGGCATCTCACTACATAGCGAAGTAAAGATTTATTGTCTGGAGTCCATAGGAAGTGATGGGTGAAGCACATATCCCTGACAATCATTTGGGACACATGAAATCTAAGCTACTTCCTTCCTGGTATGTGGAAGCAAGATTCATGAGCTGTAATTAACACAGTTATCAGTTATTTTCTGTAGATACTGTGCTTTCTTTTTCATTAAAATTGGCAAATGTATAACTATACCTGTTTGCTGAATGTTGTTTTGCAGACAAATTGAAAAAAGTAAAAACACAGGCATGCCCTTGGATGGTGAAAGCACTTTCATTTGATTTACTTTAATATTGGACTCTCACCCGAGACTCTTTGCATTTTTAATTTGCAAAATACTTGGGAGTTTATTTTTTAAAATTTATTTTAATCTTGACTTGAAATATTTGACAAGCAAAGATGGCTGATGACCTGAAAAGACCTTTGATAATATGCAAACTTTAGGTGAAAACTTTTTTTTTTTAAAAAAAAGTTTGATGAAATGATAATGGCTGTGGAAAATATTCATGCAGCACTAGATAAATTAGATTCACAAAGAAATGTGATTTGAAAGCTGCAGATCCATTGGAAAGTGTGGAAAGAGACATGGATTGTACAGAGGTAGAATCAACTCAGCTGACTCCATACACCTTTCTGAAGTTCAAGCCTGCATTCTTTTACAATAGCAGAAATCTGTCTGAATGGAGAATGATGAATTGATTATTCCTAGATAGACTGAAGGACATTGACGAATGGATTTGTGACACTTAATCAGAGACTACTTTCATCTGGACTTTGTTGGGAAAATAGCCCGATTGTGGAGACCAAATTTATAATATTTAAATAGACAACAATTGATAAGAGATAGTATTAAGAAACAAATGTGTATATTTGATGCAGGACAAATTACACTTAATTCTTGGGGTGATTTGGAATGGATAAGATGCCATGGTAAATTTTCTACAAGTTGATCAAAATAACAGTTTAACAGATGTTTTTGAAACTGTAACCTTGTCTTTTTTATTATTATTGTTCTTTCTGTTAACTATTTTGTCATTAATAAGATGAATGATCGGTCAATAATAGATTTAATAGTTTAATTTTTTTCCTGGGCTTGTTCTGCAAGGGGTAGTATAAATATACTATTTAATGTATTAATCAGTATTCAATTGGGGGGATATTATGTGTATATGTGTTTTTTAATGTACCCATTTTAATGTCTAATTCGTTTTGTTTTTTCTTTGTTGGAGTTTTCTATTTTATTTTCTATTTCTATTTTAACTTTTTTGAAATAAAATAGTGTTTTATAAAATACATTTGCTGAATATTGGTGGTAGATAAGACACCCTTTTTAGTGAAAAATGAAGGAGCAATTTGGTTTATTCTAGGGCAAAAGATTCCACTGGATTTGTTTTGTTTTGAGTTTGAAATATTGCTGTTATTATCATATAAGATATAGACTCCTTCCATGAAAGTTTTCTACATCTAATTACTGCAGTTAGAACTGTGTGGGTCAAGGTCTTCTAATAAAAAAAAAGCTTAAATATTTCATATGATTGAAAATATGCAGTAGAAAAATTACTTAATGCCAATGTGATAACAAGGCGAAACTTGGTAAACCTTTTTTAAAGAAAAGATTTCCTGAAACATTACAAAATGCAACTTAATTGTGAGAAATTGTTTTTCTGATTATTAAATGAATAAATGGAAGTGAAATAAAAATCAGAGAAAACAGGTTTTGTATTTACCTTTCTTCTAAATGAAGTTTTTTATATGTGTCACAAGGAATTACAGATATTTTTTCCTTGTTCCTAAAGTTTGAACTCATTTTAAATGAACAATTATTTTCAGCCCACCCTAAATAAACACTGATGAATAAAAAATTTACTTGTAAGCACAACCTTACAACTTTTCCTTACAACCCATGGACAAGTATCCCCAAGTCATTAATCACTATAGACCAGGGCTGTCAAATCGCGGCCCACGGGCCAGTTGCATCACACACTGATAGTGCCCCATTTAGCGAAGGGGGATAAAATTCAAGAGATATCATGTGACACTGCCATGATGAGTTTTATACCCCTGCTATAGACTTTGAGTAATCTGGAGTTTTTTTCAATTCTAATTTTTTTTAAAAAGTCCAAAGTCACAATGACCACACCCTGCTCCTCAGATAATCATAAATTATATACATTTGTTCAGATACCAAGTGTTGTACTGCCAATGTGACCTAACCATAAGAGCAAAAATAATTGATCTTCAATGGAATTATAATGGGATTTTTAAAAAAAATGCTGAGAAATGGAAGCAATACAATATTTGATTAATAAATATTTAGAAATTAAAATCTGTAAATAAAAGGGAAAAGTTAAAAATACCTGGGGAGATGATGGATTAAAAGTCACATTGGTTACAGATTCAGTGTGTCCTGTCAGTTTATAAGAATAGGTACTGGAATGCTTCTCATATATATAAGCCTGAAAAAGAACACATATTTAAAGTTGCCAATTGCCAATCAAGGAACAAGAGTTTTTATTTTAAATCCTTCTTAACAAAATGTATACTTATCAAAAGCTCAGCCCTTTATAAGATAATACTGAACAGCAATCCAATGCTTGCCTTTGCTCAAGGAAATTTAGGGGAAATGAAGGTAAAAAAAAGTTAAATTCTACTTTTTTTTTTTTACATGTATAAAAGGGATAGGGGTTTGATCATACAATCACAACTACAACTTGACTATTTTGAGCCCAGTATGGGCTCACCTGCTATTAATGCTACACTCTATTGCTTGACTGCAGCCAAGCCAGACACTAATGGAGTGGGCTTTGATTTGCTAGTTGCTGTTATTCATTTTCATTTAGGGAACTTCAGGGTTAGCATAAGTCCTGGAGACTTAGAAGATATGGAAATAAAATTTCCCAATGTATACCATTAAGGGCTACTGGAATAACCTTTTTCTCCCAGAAATACATTGATTCTTTTAAACCTCTTAAAACCCTTAAAAAGTGATGTCTATAAAATATTCCCAAAGTACATAGTCTTGCCTTCTCCAGAAATTATGCATTTATTCTTTTTGAACACAAAATTAATTTACAAAGTCTATTTAGATCACGTTTGTTATTACTCATAAAAGACACATCCCTTGTATTTAATATTACCAATGAGAACCAGTTCTATATAGCAGTTAAGGTACCAACTAGAAACTAGGAGACGATGAATCCAAGTCTTGGTTTAGCTACAAAGCCAACTAGAAGCTTTGGGCCAGATGATCTTTCTCAGCTCTTAATAAACAAGGCAATGGCAAGCCACTTCCAAAAATTGTTGCCAAGAAAACTACATCTGTACTTGTGAGAAGAATGTTAAAGACCGCAGATTAAACATGAGCTAGCAATATGTTGCAATTGCCAAAAGAGTCAATGCAGTCTTCACTGAGAATGGTCAAGATTACATGGAGTGCTAGTAGTATTTTTTTGTCCTTGCCAGACTGCACTTGAATACTGTGACTTGGTGACATACACTAAATAAATAAATAATTGTGACTAGATCTGATCACCACAAATACAATGAGAACTTGAAAAGCCATGGAGCCATGAAGTCATGGACTTCAGGGCACAGGCTGTTCAAGTTCTCATTGGCATCTTTCAAGAAAGGATTGGACAGTCATTTTGTGGCATGCGATGAGTATATTTGCACAGGCAGGACATTGGTTTAGGAGACCTCCAAGGTCTCTCCCAATCTTATGATTCTATTCTTGCTTCAAACTACATTTACATTTCTATCATATATCTCCATTATGTATTCATTTCAATAAGATATTATTTTAAAATATAAAAAAAAAGTATTGGATGTACCTTTTTTTGGAACAGCCATTTTTCTACTCAAGTATTTCCACATTATTTTCAATAATTCCTATCGTGCTTCAAAAATATATCAGCACAATCTATTTACCCTATTTAAATATAAGTCTCCTGCATTATGTCTATAATATTCTGTGTTCAAACATTAGTAAATACTTTAACTGAAAATATGTAGCCTTGTTTTAAGAAAAAATCCTCAAACTATGTAAACTATTCAACCACAGAAAAACCTTGTCTTTTTAAAAAGAAGACACATACGAATGTTGCTAATGTTCTGTTTTTGTTGTCATAAATCAAAGGGAAAAAAAACAGAAAAGGCTTCAACTAGTTTTGTCTGGTCTGTATCAAATAGTGAGATAAATTTGTTCATATTGGCACTTATAACTAGGGCCATAAGAAAGTACATATTGTACTTGCTGCCATTTTTATTTTGTTTAACTTGGTATATTTGCTGTTGTTTTATTTATTGTCTTACTTGTTGTTTTTTATTTCACTACTCTGTAATTTTAATTTGTTATGAAATAACTACTATGCAAATAAAATAATTCATTCCATTGGGAAGGATCTTAACATCTGACTCCAACTCTCATAACGAAGTGAGGCTGCAGAGTAATCCCCATTTAAAAATGCCTGGAAAAATCTTTTGGGGTAGAGTTTGCCATGAAAATTGGTTTAGTACTCAGTCAGATAATATATACAGTATAATGGTATCTTTAAAAACTTTGAAAGACAGCAAAAGGAAAATAACTTTGATGAGACAAATGAATGGCAATTCGAAGTTTAACTACTTATTAGTTACATTATTTGGGTAGACGACACCAAGAAATCAATTCCATGGGAAGATTAGGATTATTTTGACTGGGACTGGCTTTAATAATAGAATCTTGTCTGATTATGATGTACTCCCCCCTCCTCCTCTTTATATTCCAGTGAATCAAAAAGATGTCCGCTTGAGCAGCTTCCAAATATTACCTTGCTTCTCAGGACAGAAATAGTGTAGCCTCTTTTGTCAACAGTTTGTGCAGGGATTTTGGTGCTCTCTAACATCATCATTGTATACTCATTTCAACTCTAGATACAAATATTATCCTTTATTGGCAAGTTTTATATATTTCTATCAAGGTTATCTTTCTTATTGTCTACAGGGGCCTTCGTGGCTTCCAGAACCTGGGAAACACTTGTGTTTTGAAGAAAGCTTGATAGACACCAATTGGCAATGTACTATTATGCATATTTGAACAACATCACAAAAACCAATTTAAATTATACATAACAAATATACAGTAAAGAATTGGAATAGTCTACTCTGTAAAATAGATGTCTTCAGGTTCTAAGAAATGTGAAGTATCTTTTATACTATTTTAAAACTGCAAAAACTGTTTATTGGAGTTTTCAGTGGATGATTATAAAAGGCTGATTTATTACCATTTTTATGCTGGAGATGTAGTCGGTTTTAAGGCATTCTTTTGTATGCAATTAGCTACTTATTTGTTCAATAGTATTACTATGGTTCTTGGAAGAAAGTGTAAAGTTTAGAGTCGTCAATGTGTTGCAAATTTGGAATTTCAATTTATGGAGAACGTTGTATAAGCAGTGCCCATACAGGTAGTGCTCAACAGTTCATTTAATGACCTTTCAAAGTTATAACAGCACTAAAAAAAGTGACATGACCATTTTTCACACCTCTGCAGCATCCCCATTGTCATATTATTTACATTCAGATGCTTGGCAACTGACTCACATTTATGACAGTTGCAGCGTTTTGGGTACTGTGATCACCTTTTCCAACCTTCTAACAAAGTCAATGCGGAAACCAGATTCACTTAACAACTGTGTTGTTAATTTAACAATTGCACTTAACAAATGTGGCAAGAAAAGTCGTAAAATGGGCCAAAACTCACTTAACAAATTTCTCACTTACCAACATAAATTTGGGCTCCATTGTGCTTCTAAATTGAGGACTATTTGTATTGTTGTGAATAAGCTGTTTATAGGCACAAATGCCATCTAGGTAATTTTGGGTTAGTGACTCTCTCTCCAACGTATCTCACAGAATTGTTATGGGGAAAATAGAAGAAGAAAGGAGTATTATCCTATTTCCTCAAAAATAAGACCTCCCCAGATAATAAGCCCAATCAGGCTTTTGAGCGCATGGGCTAAAATAAGCCCTACCCTAAAATATTTAAACACATGTACAGCTGGTCCCCATTTCCTGGGGGGAATGGGGGAACATGCCCCACGCACTCCACATGCACCTGCCATCCACACAGAAGGGCCTTGTGGAGGCCATTCCTGCAAACCCTAGGTACCGCGTCCCTTCTCTTAGTGGAGGTGGCAAATAGAGCAGCAGGTCCAGAGATGCTAGGGCTGGCAAGAGTGTGCCAGAAACAGAGACAGAACTTCCGGCCCTCTCTGGATCAGCTGATTCGTGGACCATGGGCTGAGGTTAAGGGGCCTCCTGAACCTCAAAAATAATAACACCTCCCCAAAAATAAGGCCAAGTGCTTATTTCGGGGGTCAAAAGAAAATAAGATCCTGTAGGTATGCTTCTCACTTTGAATTATTTATAAAAAATAGTAAACTATTATACATACACATTTATCTTCAGATCCACAAGCGATGAACTGGCCACAAGGAGAAACACTAATTCCGCATGGATGACAGCGGCTATTATGACCTTCAAAACGACGCTCACACCTGCAGAAATTTAATACATTTAAGTACTACAAATTTTAAAATAATTGCTTCTAAATTTACTCATTTTTTTCAATGAAGTGCATAATATATTTATCTCTGCCTTACAATCAAAATCAACAGGTAAGATGGGCAGCCAATAAATTGAATGAATGAATGAATGAATGAATTGAATATGATATACCGTAACATGCTCCAGTTGCTTAAAAAAATAAGAGAATTTAAGTATTTTGTTTATTGCAAAATACTTAAACTCTCTTATTTAAATAGATTTTTAAAATGAAAATATTATTGAGTTTTATAAAGGTATTGTGTACATACCACTATATAACCATCCATCCATCCATCCATCCATCCATCCATCCATCCATCCATCCATCCATCCATCCATCCATCCATCC